GAAGCAGGGTTCTTCTCTGTCACCACGTCAATAACCAAGGTAGCTTCTATCTATCAGGTTGCTGTTAGACAGTTAAGCGACAATTAAGGCAGTTAAATGCGTAAACACAAAGTCAAAATCCTAAAGCAAAGATACAACTAACAGACTCTCGCTGGAAAACAAAGCGAATATGAAAAAAAAGTTAAAAGCCTCCAGAAATATTGGTTGCACCCCCAATTAATTTGTTATTATTATTTTTTAATGAAAATAATCGATGCTTCAAACTCGATTCCAAAAAACCAATTTCAAGGGTAATTTATTGTTAAATTGAGCAAAAATGTAGGCAACGTTTTTACTAAGGTATTGACACACGTAACAATATGACTTCTCAAAAGATGGCTTCACCTGACGATTTCGTGTTAAATAAAGAGCATTTTCGGAAAGTATCGATTTTTTATTTTAATTGGAAGAAAACTGACGCCTATCGAATGCTTGTGGAAGTTTATGGTGAATATGCGCCCACCGATAAATTAGGCATAGGCTCCGTCGCTAAAAATTAGTGATTTTAACGCCGAAGACAAAGAGCGTATTGGTGGCACCAGATATATGGGGTATACCATGAGCTGCTGCAACCGGCCAAAATGTTATGATGAGTTATGTATTTTATAACTTTTTTCAATTCAAAATACTTTTTTTGCACAGAAATATTTGTTCCCCTCCAGAAAATTTCTTCCATAAAAATAGTATATTTTTTTTTAGTAATTTGTAGGTGCTTATCCACTTTCCTCTTATTTGAATATTGTCAAAATTACTCAATTTTACCGAACATTTATCGATATCGATATGATGATTTGACCTATAGATTTGTCACATTGATAGGTTTGAGCTTTCAACCGAGAAGGTGGAACTTTTAAAAACCTTTTTTTGTATTAAATTTGCTTCTCATAAGCTTCTTTAAGATACTGATACCATATTGTAATTCTCAATAGAAGAGTCCACTTAATACCGTTTTTAATTGAAAGTAAAAAAAAGGCAATCAATAAAAGTGAATGATCGAGATAGATGTACTCGTATTAGGAAAGAAAAGACACTTCAACAAAAATTGTTGGTGTGGCTGATGTGGCAGTGAGAAAAAGGTCAAGTTTAGAATTGCGCTTGAAAGTCGCACGATAAGCGATTATGGTAGACGAAATGTGAAAGAAAAATAAAAGAATAACAACAACAACTGAGGGGAGACAATCTGGTAAGTTTGTTAATTACAATAGCGGCAAGCGGCAAGCAGCAAGTGTTATAGTGTGTGTACTATTATGCAGAACCCATTGGATTTCTTGTCTTAGCCTTGCTTTGTCTTGTCTTGTCTTGTCTTGTGCCCAGTTTAAGAGGGCTAACGTAGAAATATATTTGCATTAAGTGCTAACGCCTATTGTGGGCGGTCACGTACGTGGGCACACTTGAGGGTATTTTAAACTGAGAAATGAGTGTGTGTAGATACGTGTGTGTGAGTTTTCCGGTTTTGACAAGTTCATAATGCACACAAGTAAGGCAATTAAAAGTGTCTAACCTCGAAGGAACTATTGTTCATACATACATACACAAAAACATTTATATATATATATATGTACATTTATTTGTATACACAGAGAACATTAAGTTAAACTACAATATTTTTGTATAGGGTTGGGGGGTTTGAGGGTTTAGAAATAGATTAGTAAGCGTTTATGCAAAGGGTGGCAAGAAGTCATGGGCATAATTAGGGTTTCAGGTTTAAATCTTCATTGCTTTTATAATATTCAATTCAAAGTATCACTACAAAAATTATAAAAGCTACAAAATTTATTAATCCATTCAGATGGGCAACAAATTGCCAATTAAACAGTTTCGACAATTTAAGTCTTCGTTAAATCGCATAAATCAATGATTATACTCTTGAACTAGTAAATAAGCTGTTAACTAATTTTCAAATCGGATAGTATATCTAGCTGATAACAAGAAAGAAGGTCTGTCTTCAGCTAAGCCGAAGGCTTTACACCTTTTAATGGCATCCGATTCCGGTCACAAATCGAACAGGAAAGGTTCAGTGATCCAGTGATGGAAAGCTTCGATAATACAGATAGGGACCGCCTCTACTCCGCTCTGTCTGAATATGGTACTCCGGCTTTATAAGCTGACGGTGGATAATACCAGAGGCGCAGTCAGAATTGGAGAGAATATCTGCGAACCGTTCGGTACCAAACAAGGTTTCAGATCGAGTGTCTCTTAAACGTGTGATATCTTCAATTAATTAACAATCAGTTATGCCTTCTAGAGGTTTGCCAAAGAAGCGAATCGAATATGTAGGTCTGCTAGTGAAACAGGACAGGACGATACATCTCCTGTCATCAAACAAACAGTCGGCGCACCTACGTCTTTGCTTCTACATCACTGTTCATAGTCATAATTTCTAGATTGTGGATAACTTCGTCTATCTAGGGACCAGCATTAACACTAATAATAACGTCAGCCTTGAAATCCAGCGCAGAAACACTCTTGCCAACAGGTGTTACTTTGGATTGAGTAGGCGAGGAAAAAGTTAAGTCCTCTCCCGACGAACAAAGACCAAACTCTACAAGTCGCTCAACACGACTGTCCTGATATCTGATGCGGAAGCATGGACGCAGACAAGATTTGATGAGTCGGCGTTAAGAGTTTTTGAGAGAAAAGTTTTGCGAACGATTTTTATTTATGAAATGATGAGCTTTACAACTTATACGATGACATGAAAAAAGTTCAGTGAATGAGGAGACAACGGCTAGGCTGGCTAGGTAATGTCGTCCAAATGTATGTTAGCATTCCAGCTTTGAAAGCATTCGATCAGCATCCACTGGTTGAAGCAGAGGAATACGAAAACCTCCGCTACATTGGGAGGAATATATGGAGAGCCATATGGCACAAAAAAATGGCTATAATCGCGTAAGCGGAGCCTACGCCACCGAAAGGGAAGCTAAATTTAATGTGTATAAATTTTGAAGGGGACCAATTTGCTTAAAAATCAAAAATGTAGTCATTTATAATGTAATAAAAATAAATGTATTTAAAACATCTTGATGCAACGAGAGTAAGGGCCAATTCATACATACAGTCATGGATTGTAATTTGCCTTAAAACTTTGCTTTCTGAGATGAATTCGATTTAGGAAAAAAGCGTTATAAAAGTAGAGCAAATTAGAACATTACTAAAATTTGTCAACTTTAATTATTTTTTTTATTTCAATAAAGCCGATTCGGGTAATACAATCAAAAAATTGAGGTTATGAAGGAAATAGAATATGTAAAAAAATATTCTACATTTAACTAAATTGTCTGTCTTTTTATCTACTATATTTAATTTTTCATATAAAATATCATTTAAGTAATAAACAAAGTTTGTAATCCCACTAATCGCAACTTTCTTAAATAAAAAATGCTACGTTTCTTCTACCCTTTTCTACCAAATTTCCGTAACCTCAAATTTCTGCAAAATTCGTTGCCTTCTCACATCATTCTCATCGGTGGGTCGCACCACTTTGAACGGTTTGAGCAAAACACTCTCAATAAAAGATTTGTGGAACTTGGTGTGCGATGGTGGAGGCGATAACTCCAGCTCAGGCTCGCTATCTGAGTCTTCCACCTCCGACTGCGCCATTTTATGCTCACCAATATTATTATTTAAAATCGATGGTGATTCATCGAAATTCTCCAAAGATTTATTACGCAAATACGAAGAATCAATTGAGGTAGTGGACAATGAGAACTCATCCACTAAACGTTCAAAAGACTTTGTCATTTTTCGTTGGCCATTGCCCTTCTCGCCATTGTCTGCTATGCTTTTGACATGCAAATTGTTGGTGGCATTTTTCAATTTCATGGCACCTGATGCATGCGGCAATGTATGAGAATTACACTGACTATTGTTATTATCTTGGTTTTGTTGTTGTTGGCTATTGCTTTTGGCACTCTGTGTGGAGGGAAGAAAAGTAGCTTTTGTTATTGTTAGCGAACTATTGTCTTCCGCATAGATCTGAAGAAGGTTCTCTTTGTTCATTTCCAACTTTACCTCATCGTTTGCAAGGCGGTAGCTGTTATTGCGCTTTAGCGCCGGACGTCGCTGTGTGGGCGTAGAAGTTAATGGCGGTGTTGGAGATGGTGCCGGTGATGACGACGTTGGTAATGCAGGCATCGTAATATGTATGCCGTGTTGAGACGTAGTTGATGTTTCTACGTTTGCATCGGTTGAAATGGAAAATTGCTGAGTTGCAGCAATTGGGTCAACAGTTGCAGAAATCGATATTCGTTTACTACCATGCGTAGTTGGGACGTGGTCGACACCAAAAACAACATCATCGTCGCCCACGCGGGATGTAGCGCTAATATCGTTGGCGGTTGGGGTTGTGTGCGGTGGCGGTGGTGGTGGGGTTGGAGGCTTATGGTTGGCATATGCCAGCGACGTCATGGCGGCAGACGGAAATGCACTACGAGCATCTGCTACGCCATTTATTGGTTGTGCTCTCCCCCTTGGTGGAAGCGGTGGTGGTGGGGATAGCATAGTCTTAAACGACATGCGAGTGGCGCACATTGATTCGTGATTTCCCACCACCGCTTTGGGTACATCATAATGTGGCGCTTGAGCTAAGGGTTGACTGTGGCGTTCACTTTCTGACATTAAATGCAAAATGTTTGATTCTGACTTTTCCCCAGCAGGTACACTGGCAACACAAGAGCTGCTCCTGCCGATTGTCGTACTTTTGTTTGTGGAATTTTCAAAACTTTCACCTATTTCCCTAGCGTCTTCTGTAGTGTCTGTTAATGCGTTGTCAATGTGTTCTTGTTGTACTTGTAAGCGTACGATATTATTTACATCACTCACTGTGGGTTGTTGTTGTTGGGTAGTATTTTTTGGTGCAAAAGTAGTATGGGTTATTAAAGTAGTATTTTTACAATTATTATGCATTTGGGGTTTGCTGGCTGTAGTGGTAGTAGTAGTAGTAGTGGCCAAAATTTGCTTACCTTCTTCCTTGGCGGTGGAGGACGCACTCGATGCGCCACTACTGGTGTTCGTTGATGCGCTCGATGATATGGTGGAGCCCGTGGACGAAGTGGACTTGGTCGATGGCGAGGGCATCATCATCAATGCGGTCGTCGGTGCGGCGGCTGTTATGATATTTGGCTGGAAGAATGGATTTGTATTGTTGGCCAGCATGTTCTTGTTGTCCTGGTAACTGCTGCTATACGCCAATGCGGCATGTGGTTCCTCATAGAGACCAGACGACAATGACATATTTGCCTGATTATTGGCCGACTGCCCGGTGTATTGAGACTGATGTGTCGGCGTCTGTTGCTGTTGTTGCGGTGAGGCTGTTTGCTGTTGTCTGGCTAATGTTAATGGTGACTTTGCAAGAATCGGACGCACATTGGCGATTTTCCTGGTGGCCGCTACACCACCATTTAGTAAAAGTAATTTGGCTGCTGTGGTTTTTGCCGACACGGAAATATTCGCTTTCGCTGCGTTTGCACTTTCACTGCCCAACTGAGACTGCGGCGTTTGGGCTGGCAGCAACTGTTGTGCCTGCTGCGCTGTGCCGACGGGCTGTGTGTATGCCTGTGCGTTGACACTTGTGATTTCGGGTAGCGCACTTTCAGTTTCCTTTACATATGGTCCAGGTGCGAATGTTGTGTGTGCACCCTTGCGCCGCTTTAAACTGTCCGAATCGTAAATTATTTTACCCTGCGAATTTAAGCGCACGCGAGCACCCTTGTGTTGGGTTAGCGGAGAGACTGTAGACTGCTCTCGTACTTCGCTGATTTCAGCATACATGGGCACGGCAGCAGACTCAACAACTGTTTTCCTTTGTTGTGCGGATTCTGCGCAGTGCACGGCAGCTGCTGGTGGCTGCCTTATTGGTGTTGTTTCCTTCGTCTTATCCTTTTGTTGTTGTTGCTGGTGCGTTGCATTGCTATCATGTGCTTCAGCACTTTCATTGTTGGCTGTTGCACTTAATGCAGCGCTGCTGCTGTACGCGCTGCTGCCAACTTTACGCAAATGCTGTGGTAGCTCATTCAATGAAACATATTCAGTCTCGCGCCTTCTGGCCTCCACTCTCACTGCAGCTGGCTCGTTGGCCTTCGCCGCTGCAATGACGGAAGCGCTGGCGGAGGCAATGTCGAGCTTGCGTCGAACTATGTCATTGGAATAGTAGATTCCAAGACTGCTTGCACCCACTGCCTTCGGCACTGGCAATTGATTGTGGCGATTGTTGTTGCTAATATCTGCAATTGTCACATACTCGCCGGCTGTGTCGTATAGTTCATCATCGTCGACGACATTTTCGGGCTGTGAGCTTTTGCTTGGCGAACGTTTAATACTTGGCAAGACGACTTTCAATTTTTCGAACATATTGAAGGCATAATTTGAATTTCGTTTCAGCAAATTGAGATTGTGGTCTTTGTCACCCTTTGTAGGTGTAAGTGGCGATTCAGTTATTTTATTTGCTGCTTGCTCACCATCCACAGTGCAATAACCGGTAACTTCGTTTATTTCCACTTTAAGGGTAGTTTCTGGCTTCGCCGCTGCTTTCGAACGTGGCGAGCTTTGTGGTGTTAGCGTACGGTCTGGATCGTAAGCGTCGTCGTCATCGTAGTCATCGCCACCATCTTTGCTTTGGTTCTCGTCATCGCTAGTGGTTGGTGTTATGATACACATGGAGGGTATGCGCTTTGCATTGATGGCCGTCTTCTGTTTAATGCGTTCAATACGTTCCACACCCTCCAAGTCAGAGCTTTCGGAGCATTCTACCTCAGACAGCGCGGCCACGGCGGGCAATGGTTGTGCGGAGCGTCGCCGTATACGTTTCTCAAAGTCAAATTCGTCTTCTTGCGATTCGGGCGTTTCAAAACTACCTTTAAGCCCGTCAATATCTTCCACGTCGGCGGTGGTATTTAGTTTGAGTCCGGCATTAACGTTCCGTTTTATAGTGCCAGTGCGTTCTAAGGTGCTACCTATGGTGCTGCTGGAGTAGCTGCGTTCAAGCGTGCTGGTGCTTGCGCTATTGCTGTGATTATTTTTGTTCAACTTACCCAAAGAGCTAATACGTTCGGGCACATCGGGACCCAGACTATTCAGACTGCTCTGCTCACCGCCGACCTGGAGGGTTGTGCAAACAGTCCCCGCCGAGCTGGTTGTGGTGGATGTGGAACCTTTACCGAAAAGTTCATATTCGTTTTCGGCCGTCAGTACAGTCTGATTGGATTGACTGCCGAAAGAATAATTGCTCGTGTGCAGCATTTGATTGTGCTGCAGTGGCGTCATCGGCGGATCTTCTTCTTTTAGTGTGCGCAAACCACTATCCATATGGAATGAAGTGTAGTAACCTTCTGTATCGCATGAATAAGCCGAACTTGTTTCATCATCCAAATGATTGGGATAAGAGCCATCGGCCACTTGTAGATCAGGCGTGGCGGTACCCTCGCTCGTTACACTACTTGAGGCAGAGGTATTCAAGAAACGACGACGACTCATCATTGATGACGGCGGTCCACTGCCCGGATGGAAGCTAGACACATTAAGCGAAGTATTTGAAGCGCTCGATTTGGGCTGTATTGTGATTTCACTACCTATGGAAGCGCGCCCCGATTCAGAGCTAGCACTCCAATTGCCGCTAGACGAATGCGGTTGTTCGTCTTTGCCGCCCAACGCACCATTGTTATTGATACCGAGTCGCCGTTGACGATTCAACGAAGAGGTATCACGCAACTTCACATTACCACAGGTGGCCAGATGCAGTTTACCTTTAAGGTGTCCACTGCTACTAACACTCATGCTCTTCTCCGACGACGAATATGAAGGTTTTCGTTCATGCGAAAACCGACCTTCGCTCTTTTGGCTCACCAATTCATGCACAACGCATTCATCATCGATATCGCCCGTGGCGGTACGCGTTGATTGACTTGCTTTATGAGTTGCATTGGTTGCGTTATTATTATTACTGGCGCTTGTGTCTACCTTTTCCGGTGTTGTTGGCTGGTGTTGTTGTTGTGAACTGTTGCTGCTGCTACTCGCCGATACATCATGGGCGCCACTATCGCTGCCTGATTGTACGGTTGTCTCTGTACGTTGCATAAATTTAAAACGATTACGACCCCATTGTTTAAGGGAATTTAGGCGTGTCAAAGTGCTCTTCCCCTTATCGTAGGGCAAGGCAACAGCATCTTTTTTTAAGATATCGCTGGATTTGCTGCGCCCGAACTTTTTCGATTTATCGCCACGACGCACATCTTCGTCATTGCCATCTGCAGTTGCGGCGGCTCCTACGGGAACGTTTGTATTGTCTTGGCCGGCGGCAGTGGCGGCATTTAATGTGTTTTTAATCTCACTGCTTGTTGTTGCCGAGTCACTATATTGGAAAATTTTAGATTTTTTCGATCGACGAACGAAAAACGAACCAAAAAGTGTGTGGAAAAAGAAAAATAATGTTTGGTTTTTGTTAGTTTTTTGTTTGTAAAAAATGCGCTCAGCATGAAGATGATGAGGATGATGATGTAAATGGTGATGAAAGATTTCAGTATTACAGTATGGGAATAAACTATGTATGTACTATGTATCTTAAAAATACCCTACACTCAGCATAAAAGGTATGGCCGAGGATTAATCTCCAAACTTGACCCAGTTTTGCCGGGTTGCCTTAAAGTGTAATATTGAAGAATAGCTTTTGAGAGAAGATTAAATGATTTCAAGTAAATGGTAGAGATTTTTGATTGGAAAGCAGTGTAATACTCACGGCTTTCATAATGTGATTTTGTGGTTTATTTAAGCCCAAGAAAAATTAACCTCACTGTCCTCACAATCTTAATTTTAACCGTTCAATAAGTATTTATAATTTCTCATTATCATTTACGCAAATTCTGTCTAAAACGAGTCACTAACTGTTGGTTGTATTCTTGATAGTGAAATAGTCAAAAATAGTCAAAAATCGCTCGCCTTATGTACTCAGCTCTAATATTGAAAATAGAGTCAAATGCAGGGCCCATGCTTTTGAGCTTAAATTCAAAGCATGTGCTCACGAAACTTGTGTGGTGGGAGTCAGGTAATTTTCAAAAGCTTACTTTTTGAATTGCTACAATTTCAATTTGAACACTAAGTAAATATAATGTATACCTTTCACGACCATACCAAATTTATGGTATTTCATTTTGGGATTTCATATCGGAATAATTGGTTGGAGGGGCTTATATAATGAAGTTTTCCGATTTCAATGATTTTCGGTGTTAATGTTTATTTGCAGATACATGTGTGGGTGATTTTTCGAGGGAATATTGAATAAAGCTTTATATCGAAAAAAATCGGTCTCAGGAGCTAAATTTTACGGTGTCGTCTGATTCCGATAATTGTCATCGCCAATATCTAATTCGTCTAAGGTGTGCAGAATAATAAATTTCACGCTTTTGACAACTTGACAACTTGATGACCCGAAATCTCCAATCTAGAAAATTGGTCATAATAAGCTGTTTCGATCGATTTCAACAAATGATCATTTAAATCTACCAGTGTAATCTGTGTAACAAGTCTGGTTCAAATATCTTCTTTGAGGGATTATGCTAAATCAACTCAACTCGTCACTCTCACGCGATCGGTATAAATTGTGTTGGGCTGGGCTATCTCTCATTCTCTCTGATACTTACATACTTCGGACCGAAAGGCATAAAAGTATATCGTTTGAAAATTGAGACGATAGGTGGCGATAAACTCGTTCGAATCGATTCTGCTAGTTTTAATGTAAAATGATTACCGAGCGAAAGAAGACTCGCACAGCGCTTTATGTAAATTGAAATTTCTCTGATTTTTTCCAGAAACTGTTGTTAGGAAGTTTTTTGAAAAATGGTACTTAATGCCTCGTGGGCAGATATTGCTTAATTTCAAATTTGTAAAATAAATTAAGATATATTTTTAACGGGTTAACATTCAAAATACCTTTTCAACTGAGTGTAGGGCGCCTAAGAATATGTGTATTTGTATAAATAAAAAAGTATAAAAAAACTTATCTTAACTAATCTTGTTTCGTGTTTCACAAAACAATTAATCGATGAAATTATTGTGATCTTAATGCATGTTTGTTTTTATGTATGTATGGACGTTTGCTTTCTTATTTCACTGTTTTTTTTTTTGGGAGCTTTGACGTTTTTGTTTCACTTCATTTCAGATGGTGTTGTCTATGCTGTTTATGGTTCATTATTTAATACTTTTCAATAGCGTATATACGTACGCACACACATACAGATATATACATATGTATGTATGTATGTAACTCTGCTTACCAAGAAATTTGTCTACAACTGCAGCTGACAATTGTGTTGTAGCAAGAAGAACACTTGAATGCCAATGCGGCAGAAAGGACTAGTGATATGTATAGAAATAAACTAGGAGATTCGAGTAACACACACACACACACAAACACACAAACAAATGGCAACGCAACATCAGCATTCACAATAACAATAGCAAAAAGTACGAGACAGTAATAAATGCATTTTGAAAAGAGGAAATATTTTTAAGAGCACAAACAACAAAGCTTACGAACACTTACTGACGCCAAACAGATTCGTTAATATTCTGTTTTTTCTTTTTATTTTCGAAATAGATTAACAACAAAGTTCACAGATTAATTTCGAGGATTAAAAACATTTAGCATTTCGTTGCATTTGCATTTCTTCTTTTTTGCTCATTGTTTGCTGCTGCACCTCGCAGTGTTTGCTCTCAGTTTTCCGCTTAATTTATTCATTTATAAAGGGTGTTTTTTTATGGTTTTCATTGAGGCAATATTTTTTTCGGATTTGCTCTTTTTTACAGCTGGGACTTGGTCATAATGAACAGGCTTGCACCGGAACAACGTACGCTTCGCCGATATTTCGAGCGTCCATGGATCGGTTGCGCACCACTTACTTACTCTAGTGAATAGTACGCATATCCAGAGAAGTCGCACAATGCGACTGGGCCAGGGTATCGAAGAAGACGCAAATGAGTTCATCCGCCCTAGTGAGCTACAATTTTAGCTGTGTCAATCCATGAAAGATTGTTGGTTCCCAGACTTACAAAATCCAACACATACAGGGATTGAAGCCGAACAACCATCAAACGCATCGAACGTATGATGTGAATGGACTCAAAACGAAATGATCACCGATCCTCATTTTCACAAGAAAAATTTGTTTAGCCATAAAGCTCACTTTTGGTTACATGAAATTATCGCATTTGGAATGATGATGATCCACAAGTCATTGTTGACACACCGTTATATCCACAAAAAGTCACTGGTTCATATTTCTCCAAAAATTAAGTCGGTCGTAATGTGAAAGCCACGATTACTGACTTTTTCATGTCTAAATTTGAGGATGTTGATATAGACGACCTTTTGGTCCGACCTTTTGGACGCTAAATGACATGCAGCAAACAACGCAATTAAGTTATCCAAAGAAACTTTTTGTGAACGCATTATGTCGGTTGTTGGGTCTGTAACTCAAAGAACATCCGATTTAACACCACTGGACTATTTTTTGTGAGGTTATGTGAAGTCGTGGACGAAAAATGGCTTGGATGAGAACATTCGTCACGTTATTGCTGACACACAGACTCGATTGCTGAAAAAAGTGTTCGAAAATGGTCTTCTCAGCCAGAATTTTTTGCAGCTAGCGCCGAAAACCAGTGGCCACTTGTCCGATATAATTTTTAAAACATAATGAACAAACCCTTATCTTTGTAAAAATAACTAAGCCAGCACATGTCTAAAAAGTACCCTTTATTTTTAAACGTTTCAAACTCGCTTCGAACATATAGATGTTTTAGTAGAGTAACACTTATCTCCAACATAGTTTTAAAACTATCACAACATCGTTGTTCGAGGGGCTCTAACTGCTGGCGCTGCTCAGCTCCAACCTCCTGCCCCTCCAATTCAATACTTCTCCTACGAATTTGCTACAATACAGTTGTTTAATTTTGTGTTTGTTTTCAAAACAAAAGTGCGACATCAGTTGGGAAAAATTATTGGAATTTTTGATTGGATTTGAAATAATGAGGCTTTTACGTCTAATTCTCTTTTTCCACTCGCTGATAAGGCGAGCGCACTTACGTAAATTAAAAAGGGTGTAAGCAAGTCATTTATTCATTTGTTATGCATGTACAATGTACGAGTATGTAAATATATATACAGAGCTTCATAAAATTGTCTGATTCGGACAAATATGACAGTTTGAAATGAATGTAAAGTTGAAATTGCCTAAGGTCAAGGCGCTCGTTATGTTTGTGGTTTGTTGTAAATTATTGTTTATGATAGCTTATGTATATGTATGCATATTAAATATGTACAAAACATGAAAGTAAATGATTATTTGTGTCATATTAAATATATTTTACAAATCAATATTGATAAATACGGAGACTACTTTTGTATTTCTGATTAAGTCAGAGACGGTAATTGGACCGTCAGAGAAATTCGGACCAGAAAGCAGCGACATGGAAATTTAGGTAAACTTAGGTAAAGCTCTTAACAGTCTAAAATAAATATTTGTATTTAGAAATTTTTTGTTTTTATAACTTTCATCATTGTTTGCAATTAATTGGATTTATATATTATATTTAATTTACACTTTGCGCTGCAGCGATTTTCGTCCGAGCTCCTTCTCCAATTTGTGATACGGGCCTTGGTGTTTAACAGAAAATGGAGCAGTCTACAGTTTATTCTAAGCTGCCTCCGAATGGCTGATGGATTTTATGAGGAACTTTTATTTCATGTCAGAAATCAAATCGGAGAGCTTGGCATTCCATGCCGAGAGTCGATCGCAATTGTAAAAATTTCGAGCAGAAATAGTTGAACAAACTATATTGTTTAAAAACTACGAAAATATTCAGCAAAAAATCTATGGTTTTTCTATTTCGACCACTATAAAATCAGAATTTCTACGAGTATTTGATCATTAAGTCAGTCAGATTCAATCCATAAGTACTGGCAATTAACATGTAATCTCTCTTGACATTAAACAAAAAATCAGCACATTCGTGTCTTGGTACTCTCATCGCTGTTGAGAGTCACTGTTGGCGTCTATATTAAAACCAGTCAGTTGGAAAGTAATGTCTTCTCTCGACGAACAAAATCCAAAATCTACAAGTCGCTCATTTTAACTCTATTTTCAACATTTATTTTTATATACAATACAAAATTGTTGAAAATACAAAATTATGAAAATATTCATAACTGTGCCATTAAGACGTCGTTACTGCTGACCCTCGGAAAAAAGTGCAAAGGAATGGCAGTAGAAGTCATGTCAGGTTCAGCCGAAGTGAAAAAAAAAATTAGTTAATACGCTAAACTAGAGTTTGCTCGATGTAAAACAATAAAGAGTGAAAATTATATTTTTGACAGACCCTCTTACAAAAAACTGCAAATTTTGGTTAAATTTGCTTAACATTTTCCTTTTTGGAAATAGTTTTAGTTGAAAAACCAAATACTACATCCCATTCCTCGTGAATTGTATCTCGAAGACTTGTGTAAACTTCCATTAGGAGCGATTGAATTTTCAAGAAATCAAGGCTATATCTCCGAAACTTTTATTATTTAATCAAACTAGATTTTTCGAAGTTGTGAGACCCTGTGAATTTTCGTAAGAAAGTGTTTGCGGAATTTTTGTGGTCTATTGCGTACAGACGACGGCGAATACTGCAGATGATGGAACGATGAGCTATACGAGTTATACGGCGACATTGACATACGCGTATGAAATGTCGTCTGAATTGATGAGAGAACTATATCTTTGAAAGTATTTTATAGAGTAGAGAGTAAGAAACTTGTTGGAAATAATAAATTGGATAAAACCAGTTAAAAAGAACAACCTAAGGCTTTTTTTGAAGCGATGTACCCGCGTGCAATCTTCCAGATATACATCGAGTTTATTCTAGGTCACTTCCAAACGGCCGATGGATTTTCGTGAGGAACATTTATTTCATGTCAGGAATAACCTCTGAGAGTTTGACGTTTCCTGCCTCGAGCAATGGTCTTCCAAATGATGGCACGCAAAGCTAACCACTCGGCTATTGCGGTCACCGATATATTTATAAAAATATGTACACAAAGATATATGTATTATCATCGGTGCGCTTATAACTTAATGCACTCAGAATTTCATAATGAATTTTTTAATATTTTATTCTTTATTTTTTGATATTTGAGACCAGCAATAAAAAAAGTTATTGCCGAGGTCCGAAGTGTTGCAATACCAAAAAATATATTGAGAATATAGACGAGCGAAAAAAACTAATGAATAATAAAAAATTAAACAAGACGTTAACTTTTGCTTTCAACGTGCGCAGAGGTATCAAATTGCAAGAAATAAACTAAAAGAAAAGGGAGTAGAAAATCTCAGCTAAGCCACACACCGCTGCTGTCCACTGCGAAGCAGCAAACCAAAGGGCGATTGTTGTGAATACATAAAATGCAGTGAAGGCATAAATGCAATGAATCGGAATAACTTCATTGGGCAGATTGGGTACACTAAACCACTACACGAGAGCATAAACACTTGTACATATAGAAGGTAGTCGGTGTTGGAAAAAGGCCTTGGTGTGGACAGATTTATGGAATTTTTGCGTGAAGTGGGAGCACAGATATCGTCCCCTAATGTGTAGGAAGGTGTAGCACGAATGTGAGTTATGGATATGTAGTGGAGTGAGTGAGTGTTTATAAAAATATTTTGCGTATAAAACTTGCGCGATTGTGGTATGAGTGTATCTATATGTATGTGGTACGAGTACTTCTGGTTATTATTTTGTTTCACTCCTTTTCGTGCGGGGTTTAAGTGTCACTGTAATACTGAAATCCTTTCGGTGATTTATGATTTTGTTATGCATTATTTGCTATTGTTATTTTTGCACAACTTTTCATCTTATTATTTTTTAATGCTCCTTTTTGTAATGTACAATATATTGTCCTATATTTGTTATATGTTTTTGCAGTTTGAGTACACATATTGCATATACATAAGTGTATGTATGTATGTATGTATGATTATTTTGATGATAAAAATGATGTAACAATGCAGTTGAATATTTGAATTTCTGGTGGCCGGAAGCTATGAAGCAGGTTCATGTGGCGCAAAACCGTTAAAAAGTGATGTATGCTTGTATGTATGTTGAATATGTGAATAAATGTCATCATGATACTTGTGGCATTTGTGGGTGGCAAATGATTGTTGTAGTATTTTTGTTTCTTCTCTTGTGTGCATGTACCAAGCGGCACATTAATTTTTGTTTAAACCAATCGGCGCAGCAATGCATTCGGCGTTTATTTTCAATTATAATTAAATTTTGTTAAACTGTTATTTTTGGTTGCATGATTGTCGGTTTAGTAACAGTTATTTTTAACACATATGCAATTTTTAGCTAATTCGTTTTTCTATCACATAAAAACTATACTGTACAATGATTCAATTATAGCAAAGCGACAGCTAAAGTGTTAAATTAAGTTTGGTATTGAAAAAATCACACCGAAACAACGTCAATGGTATGTTTGTATGTAATTTGTATTTACATTTCAGCATGCTGTGAATTATTTAGGCAACTAAAGAACACTTATGTATTTTTGTTTGGCAGTCAATATTCAACACAACATCAAATATTAAATTTTTTGTAAACAATTTCGAAAAAAAATATACATAGATTACGTAAAATAACTAAGTATTTAGTTATATTAATTTTTTTCAGAAAACTCATTCAAAATAAATTATAAATTAAAGCAAACAGCATAACAAATAATTAAAATCACAATAATTTCAACTAGGTGTAAATATGTATGTATGTTTGTATGTATGTATTTATGAAAGTATAAATATGGCGCATGTGTTTAAATGCATTTATGATATTTACTATATTTATGTATGCCTAAAATCGTATGGTATGCATATATATGCCTAAGTTTATTTTTTTAATAAAATATTATTTACATTGGGCAAAATGCAATCGGGATTACAAATAAATAGTAGATACAAATGAATGTATGTAGATGCATGAGATATTTACAATTAAATAAAAATGCTTTCATTTTGAGCATAAAAACTTTGGTTTGTTTTTGTTTTTTAAAGTAAATTTATTGTATTTTCATTAATACATAATGTTGCAATATATTTCATATAAATGTATGCATATGTTTGTATGTAAAATAAATAATTTCAGATTGCAATTGTTCGCATTTTCATTTAGGATTATATATGCATTACATAGTCGTACTTATATTGTATGTTTAATTAAAATTTACATTTCTATTTATTTATTCATTGGTGACTAAGCTGCAATATGGATGGTACATTTCATATAAAAAGTCTTCAACGCAAATTTTCACTTTTAATTTATATAAGTGATATATTTTAACATTTAATTCAATTAAATTTTGTTTCATCTTTTTTTTTAATTTATTTTGATTCCCTTCATTTTATTACTTACTTTATTTAAAATAAATTTCTTCGTTTTATTTAGTTTATTTTATTTTATATCATTTAATTTCAATTTATCTTATTTCATTTTTTTATTTCTGTCTTTTTCCTTATTTTGTTTTGATTTGTTTTGTTTTGTTTTATTTTATATTTTTTCATAGTTTTTTAATATATGATATGAATCCATTTATTTTATTTTATTATAAATTGTTTATTTTTTTAAATGTTAGTGTGTTTATTTTTTTCATTTAATTTTTTATTTTCATTTTATTTTTTACTTTCCACTTCTTTATTTATTTTATTTTATTTTATTTTATTTTATTTTATTTTATTTTATTTTATTTTATTTTATTTTATTTTATTTTATTTTATTTTATTTTATTTTATTTTATTTTATTTTATTTTATTTTATTTTATTTTATTTTATTTTATTGTTTTTGATTTTATGTGATATTATTTTATTTTATTTTGTTTTATTGTATTTCATTTTAATTTATCTTGCTTTATTTTATTTTTTTTATTTTTTCTTTTTTTATTTAATTTTTATTTTATTTTATTTTATATTTCTTAATTTTATTTTATTTTTTTCATTTTATTTTATTTTATTTTATTTTCTTTACTTTATTTCCTTTATTTTTCTTCAAATTCCTTTACAGTCTTGCAAATCACTGTAAGGCACAAGATAATGGCCAATGTGCTGTGCTTGTGACCCCATCAAAATGCAGAATAGCCACCAATGTCGTCGATAAACTTAAAAACAGGAAAACCTAAAGCAGCGAAACCATGATAAGACAACAACAACATACCCATTTGCCGCATCTTGAATTTCCTTCTGATCGGTGCCGGCGATTGTATTACGTCGCTTGCCTCTTACTCGTCTCGAACGTGAACGTCGGCTCACCGTTTGAACGTCATCGTTCAAATTGTTTGTCTCGGCCATATTGCTGGTGTAGCAACCGGTTGTGGATTTGCGCGCAGCACACATACGCTGGAAACGTTTGCCCGATGTGTCCACCGAGATCACTTCAGCTGGATACCTGTTGATGGAGAATAATAAAAGAATGAAGAAGGAAAAGAAGAAAAAAAATATTATAAGTAAATTGTTGGCATAGACGATCCTACAGCGAATATTCTGTGGTAAATGGTGGGTAACTAAAATTGGATAAACAATAAAATTGCTTTGTAAATAGTCGATCAAAGGGGCGGCGGTTCAGAAGCGGTAGCCCGTTCCACTAATAGCGAATGAATAGAAATGTTTTAATGGTTGGACTTTTGCGGGTTTTGTTTCTACAAGTTGTGCTCGCCACTGCTCTTATTGATTTTTTTTGTGTGGATTGGAATGGATAATTTAGAGGTTAATTGCATTCACTGCCATTACAAGAGATCACGAAGTTATCTTATTAATTTTCATTGAGTATTTGGTAATTTTCTCTAGAGTTCTGCATACATAAACATATTTACCTTAGTCAAGTACAGATAGATTTACTTAGATACTTGGATGCGGAAGCAAAGTGGGGCATGAGTTTCTTGATGATTAGCCATTCAAAGGTCATAAAGTATTCAGGGCCATAAATTATTCTAAGGTCAGGTTTTACGCTCAGATCGTAATGTTGGCTGGTTGACGCTCACACAACTTATGGGTTCAACTGTGATAGAAGCGATTTCGGAGCCATTGGATAGGCCAAATGACGATAGGCGAGACCAGTGAGTATTATTAAAAAGGGCAAATGCGAACTCATAACCTCACTAACCTAGTTAAATGCTGGAGGATTAGTTTGTAGTACAAATTAATAAGCCAAATTCGACAAAAAAAAATATTTCCTAAAATAGAAACTGGACCGCGCAGCAAATGACTGGGTCGGACAGCCGTTAGAGAAGCCGCGAATATTTAAGATACTTGCTAGTATTTGCGATCAAATACAACTATTATTTGGAGGGAAATAATTTTATACCTGAAATCTAAAGATAGTCGGTGTGAAATTCTATTGATTCGTGGAAAAACTGAAAAATTAACTGACAAAACAATTTTGGTACCAAATACCACTGAAAATGTAACTGAATATACAAATATTGTAGCAGATTTAGTTAGCTTCTTTCTGAAAAGTTCCAAAATAAATTTCAGAATTTATTTTATTTCAAATAAAATATTTTTTGCGGTATAAGAATCAGAGCTCATGTGAGAAAATGTTCTCCATTACCCGCAGAGGGAGCTATACAACGATTTCAGCGCGTTTTCCATGCCTCGTAACATTTTTGGTACGCTTCGACTGGGATGTCCGCGAGTACCCTCGTCACGACCGCCTGGATGTCCTCAATCGACTCAAAATGGGTTCCTTGGACCAACGATTCTGTCCTAGGGAAGAAAAGAGTCATAGGGTGACATATCGGGCGAATAAGGCGCTTGTTGCAACACGGCGATTCATTTAGAGGCCAAATACTGAGACGCGCTGACTATGGTGTGTTGTTGTGATGAATGATTCAGTTACGAGCGATGCCTGGGGGCATTCTGTTGTCTCGTTTCCGCAATCTTTCGAGTACTTGGCGATAGCAGACTTGATTCACGGTTTGCCCCGGTGGACGAAATTCTTTGTGGATGATTCCATGGCTTTCACATTCGAATTTCAAGGTCGCAGTCTCATTACTTAATTGCCCCACTTCGTATTACCAGTAAAAGAATAACTGTCAAAATCGGACTACTCTAGCCTTACAAAATATATGTGTCGTGTTCACAGTTCTTTTTCTTCAGTTATAAAACTAGGTCATACATAAAGTGAGCGTTATTATTCGTTATCTGTTCATATGTTTATTTGATTAACACTGCTTCAACTCAGATTAATCCTAATTACTTATTTGAGCCACGTAGTTAACCGCTACAAAAGGTGGTAATTAATAACTGTAGTAATTAATATTTAATTTGAAATTTAACTTGATGTAAAAACGCATCTACACACAAATAAATATGCCGCCGAATTCTTAAAGCGTTGCCAAGGTTTTAGTCTATAATATCAACTTTCTCACGCCTTTTTTCAAAGCAAAACAAATCCAATTATTTTAATGTTTCTTCTCATTCGCTAATGACTCAATTACGCACACAAAGAAAACTTACAACTGAGGTAGTTTCTCTTAGTTATTTTGTGTGTGAGTGACTGTCAAAAATATATATAATCGTACAAAACAATTTTTTTGATTTTTTTAAATTCACTTCGAGGCCACTTTTTAATGTGTGAGGGGGTGTTGGCGAGATGAGATGTGTTGGTTCCAAGACGGTGTTACATGCCATACAGCCAATGAAACAATCAATTTATTGAAGAAAACTTTTGGTGAACGCATTATCTTGCACGTCGAAAAATTTGGTCTCTCGTCTGGTATTTATTCGGACAAGCCGCAGCGTCCTTACACAAAATAATTTTGAAAACCAAAAGCCGGGCCTTTATGTTCAAAATGAAGTTAAATTCTTGGACATAACATTATATCATAAACATATATATAATTGGTGCTATGTAATCGCTAATTTGTGGTTTTGAGTCTCGTTGTTTTTTTTTCAACAAATGGAGGGACCTACAGTTTATACTAAGCCGCCTCCGAACGGCTTAAGGTTTTTTTTACGAAGAGCTTTTATTTGATGTCAGAAATACACTAGAAGGGGTGATTTTCCCTGCCGGGGGGCCACCGCAATTAGAAAATTTAGCTTCATTATTTATTTAAATTAATTTTCTATAACTTTTGGACGCCTTCCGAATGGCAGTACACAATGCTAACTACTCGGCTACCGCGGCCGCATTATATTATATGCGTTTAATTGCTTCTTGTTGGCCACATGCCTTTAAAAATCACCTTTTATAATCTATGTTGTGTATTAAGCAGTTTATGTTCGAGTCTTCTAGGTGTGCATAATTGAATTTTAATTCTAGCAATCGAACGCTTTGCATTTAGTCAACATTTGACGTAAGTATTTTTTTTTTTTTTGGATTTGTCAAATGCACCACTTGAGATTTTCAAGAATTGGAAATTACTAAATAAATAAATACACATACATATGTTCATAAATTTCTTTAGTGCACTCACCTTAAAGCTATTATTTTACATTGTTCCTCGGGTGAAGGCAGTCGATGATTCAAAGGCACATCTTTGTTTATATCATTAGGCAGTTGCGTATTATCGCCAATTTGGCTAACATTTATAGCGTAAAGTGCGTCGACTGCATCGGCCGACAACACGGACGGAGATAGGGCGGGTGTCAATACCCCATTATCGCCAATCACCATCGAGGTGCTAATGGACGTGTCAACATGATGCATACAATCGGGTGTGACTGTCATGTCGCCTAACGCTTCGCTGGATGTCCACTTGCGGAGATCTTCAATGGCGGCGGGCTGCAAGTAAAATAAAAAAAAAACAACAAGGCAAAATAAATAAAAGTAAATAAAAGAAGCGAATTCAAAGAATACATTAATTAATTGCGCTTAATCACAAAATCGTGTAATTACATTAAAACCATTAATTTTGTGATTATCAAAGGAATATGGACTCCAGTGGTGGTATTCACTGTTATATTTATTTTAAAGATTTTGTGATCGTTAAAATAACTTTAACGATTTTACTATGCGCTGAATATATTACAACGATTTCGCTGTCGCTTGAACGGCTGTTGTCGTTAACTACTTGAAGAGTCGCCAACGAAAAGATGAATTTTTTAATATTAGTTAGCCTCATCGACAAAAGATTGATATTTTATTAAGGTTAAAATGAAGTGGAGTAGATCGGGAAATTACCTAAGCAATATAAAGACAAAAAAGAAAATAATAATAAAAAATGGCTTCTGAGAATCTGTCGTACGTTTTATACAAACACGAGGAGATCCCTTTCCCTTTGAATGAAAGTTTGTTTCGGAATCCACATAGAAATCGTTTCTCAACTTACGAAAAGGTTACAGGTAAATAGTTTGATTAGTTTTACAGTGGGGACTATCTATGAGCCAAACATCTGCAAGCCGTTCCATCCGTCGCGTAACAAACGCAATCAACCGCTCTATGTTTTTTGCGTATTTTAGATTTCCCACGACCCAAATAGAGCACTTAGCTGCAAATTGCAAACGAAAATTTTCGCTTCATCATTGTCACTATTTGTTGGATGAATTTCAATTATGAACGCTAGAAGAAGCCTACGTTAAACATCATGGATACTATTCCATCATTGTGCAAATGGCAAGAGTGATTCTTTTTCGATTATTATTGTAGCAGCAGAGTTCATTATACAGACAGACAAGAGTTCGAGAGTTAAAGTCCTATCCGTATAAACAGGGTATTTTGCGTTGCCACACCAAAAATAGACCAAGAGTATCTAATTGTAAGATCCAGGTGGCCAATTGATAACGCCAAGATGAGAGCTTATTCGGCGGGAAATTTCTATCGCTAAAAAGCTTTGAGGTGGAACAAGCAAAGCGATGATGCACAGGCCTTACAATATCTGTAGTTGATACTGCCTGCTCATAATCTACGCCTAAGCACCAAATAGTAGTCTTGTAGTAGTTTTCAGCAGTTTGTACTTCTAACTAAAACAAAGCATGTTTGGTTTGACAGTTAAATTTGACAAATATCAAAAGTAACCCTGTACTTTTGAAATCATGAAATGGTTAGCCTCATATTTGTACGCTGCACGATTAATTTTTTAGAGCTCCTTTAGAATGCGAAGAGTAATGTGTGGAACCCATAACATGTTGTTGACCTATAAACATTGTAATATTTTGTAACTAATTTATAGGTAGGAATGGTAAACTTTTTGTGTTTTTTTTGCATATTTTGATTACCATTCCACCATTTTAATAAAAAGGAAATTTCAAATGATGTCATAAACTATATCATATAAAGTGAAGAAGTTTACAACGAGCATGGTAGGGGTTGAAATCTTGAAAGTAATCAATAATAACTAATTTATTAATGTAATGACTGAATAACCGCTTTGAAATCCACCCAGCTGTAGTCCTAAGCAAAACACGAGCCTCTCTCCTACGCCTAATTACATGCATAACGGTCAAAAGGCATTAGCATAAAGGAAGACATTTGCAAAACACATTGAACACATATAAATTAATTTAATTAGAATAAAACCAGCCAACGAACGACAATCATCACCAACCACAGAGTCGAGGTCAGTTTGGCGTAATGCCTTCTCTTTCAACCCGTTTTAGGCATAATAAAATATTTATTAGCAAATACACGTGAAAACACTGTAAATATTTATATATTATGTATATATGTATATATGTAGAGCGAAAAAAAGGTTGCATGAACTTCAACGCGACATGCAGCGGTGCAAAATGCGACTCTGTCACGCGATGTGCAAAAGCCCATAAGTAAACGTGTGACGCCATTTATGACAAAACAGTTATTTAAACAACATTATTTGAAAAAAAAAAATGAATGAAGTCATAGCAAATTAATGATAAAAAAATAGCAAAATAAGTAAAAAAAAATAATAATAAAAAGTAAGAAGGAAGCTACTAAATGCAATAAGTATACAAATATATTTTCCTTCGATCGCGCATAAAAATTCAATCAACCAAATTAAAACAATAACATTCTTTTGGCAGCGCAAAAGCTTACGCTAAATTGAATTAAAAACCACTGAAAACTCAGATGAAAAAATATATATATATATATATATATATATTCTATATATATACATATGTCCATATATAGAATAAGACAAATGGAAAAAATATAGTGATAAATTTAAGTCGAGAGAAAGTCGAGTAGATAATCAAATAAAATAAATTTGTGCTTGTATGTAAGTATGTAAATATGTAAGCAAAGTAAAAGCAATATTGTGATAGTCGCTGAGGACAAATACCAACTAAAGGAAAGACATTTTCCGCTCAACGTCGCTTAAATGAAAGAGGATTTACGCTGAAAAATCCTGCGCTTACCACATGAATGAATTCACAATCACACCATACGTATATACATATATACATGCTACTTACATATACCGAATATTTCTCGCACACTAATTTATTCATTGCTTTTCGCGAGGCAACATACGAAATGAAGAGAAAAAGACATGATAGCGAAAAAATGGAAATTGCCTGTGAAGCTAAAGAAAGACTGGACAATGAGTGGATTACGTCGGCCATGTAGGGAAAATATATACTTATCCATGTGGACTTATTGTAGCAAGCGAAAGTAAGATTTCCCTTTTTTAAATTTTTGATACTTCAATAAGGAAATTGTATAATGGTTAATGATCAACCCCTCGGAGGGGAGGCGCCTGAAAATACACTGCAGATTCCTCCATTAGTTGAAAAAAAAACATCAAGACGCACACGATAAATTGGAGGAGAATCTCGGCCGGAAATCGCTTCGGCGATTACAAAGCCACAATTATATATGTATATATATATTATATTGTGTTTTTCACCACGGCTCACATTGTTCTACCACAACGGTATTCGCTTAGACCTGGCTCCGTGCGACCTTCCTAGATTTAGCAGGTAAAATGTAATGAATGCAATGTCATTAGATTAAGGCGACTCTTATCCGAAAAAATCATGATGCACAAGTAGCATTGTTTATTTCAGGAAGGAGGGAAATGCCTTCAAAACCAGCTGAGGAGGGTCAAAAGCAGCGATTTGTCCACGCAAGAAGTTATTCGAAAAGTTCATAAAATTGTCCTTGATGATGCTCTTACTAAATGATTTACTGAAGAAGAACTCGCTTAGATGGTTGTAGTATCCGATACAATAATTTTTAAAATCCTGCACGATCATCTCGGTCTGCGGTATATGAGTGCCGTCCACGAGAGCCGCATTGCGTTGGCTGCTCTGCATAAGTTCGGCTTTAATATTTTGAATCATTTGCCCCTGTAGCCCAGACCTGATCCCGAGTGAATATTATCTGCTTTTAAAACTGAATAAAGAGCTCAGATGTAAAAAATTGATCACCACATCATCATTGGAGACAGTTTCGGCGTGTTTTGGCGATAGAGAAAAATATTTTCTTTAAGAAGCCCGAAATTAATAAATTAAAAATGTATAGTGTAATAAAAGTTTTTTATTGAAACTGGTGGTAACCCTACAAAAAATATCTTCGCTGCATATAAAGGGTGATTTTCAGCTATTATCATTTTGCCAACACTGGTTTAAACAGCTGACACACGTTTAGTGTTTTGTATCACTTTTAAACATCTTCAGTTTGGTCCAAAATTTAACCAAAAATCGTCTTGCAAACGAACAACGCTTGAAAATTATTGAATTTTATTATCAAAATGGGTGCTTTTTTAAGGAAGTTAAATAAAAAATGACAAATTAATGAGTATGTAAATAAGCAGAATTGTCGATTTTGGAGTGAAGATCAGCCAGAAGCATTGCAAGAACTACCAATGCATCCAGAAAGTGTCACAGTTTGAAGCGGTTTAACACTGGACCGTATTTCTTCAAAGATGATGCGAATCGTAGCATAACTGTGAATTGTGAGCGTTACCGTGAGATGATGTCAAACTTTTCTTTTCTTTCAAGAGCTTGACTTGCACGACAAGTGATTTCAACAAGACGGTGCCACATGCCTCACAGCACGCGTAACAATGGACTTATTGAGAGGCGAATTCGGTGAACATGATATTTCACCTTTCGGCACCGATCAAAGATCGTGCGATTAAACATCTGTAGACTATTTTTTGTGGGGCTATCTTAAATCTAATATCTATGCAGACAGCGCCGCTTCAATTGGCGCATCGGAGGACAATATTGAATCATTCGTTTGTGAGATATCGGCCGAAATGTTGGAAAGAGTATGTCAAAATTGAACTAACCGGATGGACCATTTGAGGCGCAGTCACGGTCAACATTCTTCAAACATTAAATTATATGGACTGTACTATCGATTCAAATAAAAATTTCATACATTTTACGTGTGTTTTTTTGAAAAACTTTCCTATAGCCCTTAAAAAATTCACCCCTTACATCTAATAATTTTATATTTTTTATGCCCATTAAAAATAATTTTTTTATTTCATGTAAAATTAATTTTTTGAATTTGTGATTTTTCTTCTTTTTTTACGTAAAATTAAAAAAAAAAACAGTTAATACTGGTACATTAAAGATTGAATGAAAGAGTCTATGCGTTTTATTCATTAAATCGACACTCCCCCATACCCCAATCTTAAAGAAGTTCGTCTGCGCAGCCCAACACCGTTAGCTAGCAAGTCTGCAAAATTTACTCATTAAAAAAAATAATAATAACTGATAGCAGAAATAAAAATTTAAATCAATTACTGGGGATCGAATGTGATTAAAGGAATGAGTAGAAACGCAAATGTAATTTTACAAAAATTCCCTAGCGGGAAAGCCGAGGCACATCCAGGAGTACATCCAACTTAA